ACTATTTTGTGCTTCTTTTTCCTCTTTTGATCATATATGAAAGATCAAAGATCTTGGGAGATGCACTGTTTTTGGTTTGTTAATCCTTAGCTCTCTTCTTGGCTGCTTGCTTTTTGTAGCTCTATTGTTTTTTGATAGGTGGTCTTAGTGCATGAATGACAAAGTTCTTTGCCCAACAACATCTTGAAACATAGAGATTCATTGTGTCAGTTGGTACTTCATGTACATATTAATGTATAGGTACTACCTAGGCATACAGCTATTGCAAAGACAGTATATATATATACATATACATAGCACTTTGTATTTGCATTGGTGGCTTTTGATATTGGGTTGCCAGGTCGCCTTTTGGTTGACATCATAGTTCCAGTGGAACTCTTTTAGTAAATGAAAGTGCAAATTCAAATCTAGTCTCCCTCCTCAAGTAGTTGCATTTTTTTGGCATACTTCATGGTAACTTGCTGCATCAATGCACAAGCAAGGCAGCCATTCTATAGATACAGTTGTTTGGTAAGGTTGCTTAAGTGTTTCCTTTACTTGGTTTTGTGCCCTTCTGGTTACCATGAAGAAGTTATACTGACATAGTTTAAGTTTTGCCCACATCCATGAATACATTTATGGTAATAACATGTCTGCCATTATATTTGCAGTGACACAGCAAATTACCATGGAATATGCAGGTAAAAACGTCTTTTCTGAAGCAAGGGGGAAAGGGAAGTGCCCCTGGAATTTGCCAACTCTTGTGATCAATCGATATTTTAAGCAAAGATCTTTTACTGTATTGAAACCTGGAAGAATACCATTGCATATGCAGGAAACTGTAGAAAACTTGTGTCTTTAAGGGCATAGGTGACTTATATGCCACCCATTCCATAACTGTATGTACTATACATATATATATAAGAAAAATGTGTATATATATATATAATATTTGCATTCTAAGTGCAAATGCAGCTTGGATATGTTGACACAGCAAATGGCTATGGTATCTGCAAAAAAAATATTGCTTTTATCACAAAACACCCTCTAGATATCAGTGTATGTTCGAAGCTGCCATTTCTATTGTATATATACTGATACTGCACACTTGTGACAATGCGCTTGCATACTGGTTGAAGCCATTCACCCACTAAAGCACAAACAACCACTGAAACTTTTCATACAGTTTATAGATCAAAGAACTAAGAACAAGAGTGAGTATTGGTCAAAAGGATGGAGAAGGGACCCCTTTCCATATGAATGCATTCTGGGAGCTGCTACTTCCTAGTCCAATGTGTTGTGTCATAGCTGTTTTCTGTCAAGTCTTATAAACAGTCTTACCTCTTTTTAGGTGTTACTCATCCTGTCTTAAAAGATTATAAAAGCACAGCCAAGCAATTATGGTAACAGGGTACCTGGATTAGATATGCAGTGGCATAGCAAATTACTGTGAAATATACAGGAAAATATTTTTGGGGAAAGTGTAAGTTGGAGCTGTCCTTGCCATGTGCCAACTCTTATGAGCAAAGTCGGTTGCAACCAAAGAGTCTTTATTGCAATCAATCCTGGAAGAATTCCATTACATACGCAAAGTACATGTGGAAAATATGTGTACGTATTGGTATGTGCTACTTATGTACCACCCATATCATAGATGCATACAGTAGTACTACTAAGAAAAATGCAAGTCCATCAATGTATATAGGAGGGCTATATATAGGAGGGCTAGGAGACGTAGCCGGCCATCAGGGGGAGAGGCTATGCAAATAGGAGGGCTAGGAGAGGGGAGAAGCCCCCATGTTTTTTTTGTTTCTTTTCCTTGGCCACCTCTCCCCCTAAGGGAAGCCATATATATATATACACATACTATGTTTGTTTTTCCTCCTTCCTTTTCCCTGAGGACCTTCATGACTCTCTGGACATTCTTTGGCAACCCCTGAGGAAGTCTGACAATCTGTGTGGATCTCTAGCAATACCATCACAGGTATATGAACATAAAGGATTGAACGTGATGTAGCAAAAACACTGCATTTCCAGAAACGTGGAAAAATGGGGACCTGACAGCGTACCTTTCTGGAGATATATCCATATATACATATATCTATATATACACAAGATTTGTATTGTTTGAAAACAGTTTGCTTTTCAACGCGTTGATTCTGCGAACCATGCAAACTATAACTTTGGATCAGTTTGATTGGGGAATGTCCAATTTGTCCGGTTGACTTCAGAGAACAAACAGCTTGGGTTGATTATGGGTGATTCAATAGGAAAAGATCTTCATCATGTTAGCTAAAGGCACCTGATTTGGGTCTGCGAAAGATGTGAAGCGCGGATGTCTTTGAGACGAGTTGGCTTCGCATGGCCGCGTCCAGCAATGCTCATTTTCGTCAGGCTGGACAAACCCAAAAATCGAAAAAAGGACTCTCTGGGTGTGTTTCCGGTCGCTGGGGTCAGTTAATTAAGACAGGCAGATGTCATCAGAAGCGTCCTCTTTCTCACTGTTTGGTGAAGCCAGGCCTATTCATTTCTTTGCCGATTTTTGGGGTCCCAAAAAGATATTGTAGAAAGTGGGTCCGAATCGGTCCGACTTGGTTCTGTTTTGATCGTCATATACTTCGCCAAGCTTTTTGCTGCATCAGTCTGCCAAACCCACTGGTCCTTGTGTTGAAGTTCCGCGTTTCTTCCTTCATTTTTCTTCCCGATTCCATGAACATGACATCTACTCTACCAGCAGGCAGAACTTGGATTCCTTCCTTATTATGGACATTTTATCTAACAGAGGTGGGAAGTTCACCAACAAAATAGGGACTCAACAGCGAGGAGCTGCTGCGGCTCCAGAAGGTCAGATGCCTAACATGGGCCGAGTCCATGCAGAGAGAGCCCCGCGTTGCGGAGCGTATTCCACGTCTTCAGCATTCTTTAACCCAATGAAACAGATATTTGACACCTATTCCATGGAGGATATTATATCCTTGAAACAGTTACCAGTACCGCACAAGGCGGTAGCCGGAAGTTTCAAAAATTGGAAACCTATAGGAGAGCTTGGTTTTTGTCAATCACGGATGGCAAAGCGAATCCACTGATGGATTGAAAGGTGGTTGGAGTTGTGTTTTTGGAATGATTACAATGGTTGCAGTGGTCACCTGGTCGGTCACCTCACCCACAACTGCCACTTTTGGAAGTTGAGATGTCGAAAAAGTGCACGCCGTTGTGGCGGGAAGCACACGTCCAAGTCAAAATGTAAAAAAACACACCAGCTCCGGACCACTTTTGGAAGTTGAGATGTCGAAAAAGTGCACGCCGTTGTGGCGCGAAGCACATTTCGAAGTCAAAAGTGGAAAAAATGAGGGGTTCGGAGCACTTTTGGACGTTCGGATGTCGTTTGCGTGGCAGGCACAAGGAATTTTGAACCTTGCCAAAGGTGAACAAAACATGAAGGTTTTGTAGCAGTTTCAACTACAACCACCACAACCACCACTACACTACACTCCACTACGCTACAACTACGACTACAACTACAGCTACATCTACATTACGCTACACTACACTACACACTATTTACATTACACTACGCTACAAAATACTCCACTACACTACGTTACACTAACTACATCTACAACTACACTATTACACTACACTACACTGCGCTAATTACATTATACTACACTGCACTCCACTTCACTTCGCTACACTATACCACACTACAACTACAACTACAACTACATTACGCTACACTAGGCTAATTACATTACACTACTAGGCTAATTACATTACACTTGAATACGCTACATTACACTACAACTACCACTACATTACGCTACACTACACTAATTACATTACATTACACTAAAAAACGCTCCACTACACTACGCTACACTACGCTACACTACGCTACACTACACTACACTACACTGCACTGCACTGCACTGCACTACACTACACTAACTACAACTACAACCATACTACATTACCCTACACAACGCAACACTATACTACACTACATTCCGCTACACTACACTCCACTACACTACAGAACACTACACTACATTACACTACGCTAATTACATTACACTACGCTCCACTCCACTACACTACACTCCATTGCACTACACTCCGCTACACTGCACTGCATTGCACTACACTACTCTACACTAACTACAACTACAACTACAACTTCAACTACAAGTACAGCTACACTACACTACACCACACTACACCACACTACACCACACCACACTACACTACACTAACTACAACTACAGCTGCAACTACAACTACACTACTTTACACAAGACTACACTACACTACACTACACTACACTACACTACACTACACTACACTACACTACACTACACTACACTACACTACACTCCTACACTAGATTACATTACACTACACTACACGCATTAGACCACCACAAACGCAACTGCAACTACACTACACTAATTACACTACACCACAACTACGAGTCCACTACATTACAGCTACAATTACAGCTGCACTACACCACACTACATCCGAGACCGTCAGTTTTTAACACTTTTGACTTCGAAATGTGCTTCGCGCCACAACGGTGTGCACCTTTTTTCCACATCTCAACTTCCAAAAGTGGTGCGATTGGAAATGTGCTTCGCGCCACAACGGCGTGCAATTTTTTCATCTCTCATCTGACCAGATGTCTCCGCACCCGCCGCTTTAGCGAGCCTACTTTTCGACCCTCCGGAGCCACAAATCATTTGGAAAAACACAGTGAATCGCGACTTTTCTACCTTTTCGCGCGCCTGCATTTTCTTTCTTCTGACTCTTTCCCTTCTCTGATCTTCTCTCTTCTTTTCTTATCTTCTCTGACTCTTCCCACCTCTGCTTTTCCATCTGTCCATATTGTCGGAAGTTTGACTTCTAAACTTCCTCCAGTCATTTATTTATCTCCGTTTCGGAGTGATTCTTACTTTCAACTTTTCAACTATTTCCAACACGAGCATGGAAACTGAGCCGTTGGTGGATGGTTACCGGCCCAGGAAGTTTGTCAAAGTCGCAGCGGCGGAAGCAACGCCGCAAGCAAGAGAAACTTGAGCGGCGTAAACCTCAGGAACGTCGACGCCTCAGACAAAACCAGGGTAAAAACCCAGTCCCAGAATTGGTTTACGGGAATTTTGCAGGACACCGCTACGTTTGATTCTCAAATCGATGGTTTCTTGTGAAGTTTTCCTTTGCAATCCATTGACCCAGAACCTCGAAAAACGGAGCCCAGGTGAGGGGTCACAGCTGGAGGATTCCACCTCGAAGAAGACCAAGGGTAAGAAGATGCGAGACCAAGAGCCGGCTGGAGGCAGCTGATTTGTTCATTCTCAAAACTGGGGACTTGGTGATCTTTCACCAGGAAGCATGTGTAACAGGTGGGAGAATGTGGTGGAATTTCATGAAGTAGATACATTTGCTTTAAAACAAATAGAATGGCATTTGCCAATGCTTTTCCTACGATTCTCCATTGCCACTAAAAAGTGGCAGTCACACCGAGCTCGTCGGTCCTTGAAGGATCTGACTTCCAGAAGGCTGCTGCACCCAAGAGGAAGCAGAAAAATGAAGATACAGGCTTTTTGCTGCCGATGGTCATGGACTTTTGGTTCCTCATCCCCGTCATCATATGTCAACATCTAAAGCATATCAAAAACATCAAAAACATCAAAAGCACCGGCACCAGCACCATCATCATCATCATCATCATCACCATCACCATCACCATCACCATCACCATCACTTTAGTCCGTATTAAAGGTTGCATAGCCGTCACGGCCACATCACATCATGTTTGGGTCCACCAAAATTCTTTATTCTTCTCTGTAGTCAGAGAGAACCCACTACCCACCACATTGATATAGGTCGCTAAGATCAAGCAGTCCGACTTCGGTGCGCTGTTCTCCAGGCGTTTTGGGGAAAGCAGCCACCCGACTGAAAGGGTCAAGGCGCCGAGTGGATGGCATGATTTCAAGGTGGCTGAAGGTGAACCCCCTCCATTGATCCATAACCAACATGTTTTATGGGGGATGTTTTTGGTGGGTAGAATATGTTTGGACGATATTTTTGGTTTATGGGATAAATTGGTTTTGACTGTGTGATCCCTGACACGGAAAATTGACATGGGTCAATCCTACTGCAGACCCCTGCGTCGTGGTCAAATTCTATCTCGGTCAAGCTTCGGGATGTGACCATCAGGGTGCCGTTGGGTGAGACAATCCACTCCCACCATTTGGCTTCACAGTTTACAGACTCGGGACCGCCACCAGCCCTGGTCTGATGAAATATCTAAATGATCTGATTTTCACTCATGTTACCATGATTTTCCTGAAGCCGGTTTCAACATTTTCTCATATCTTGCATTATGTCGCCTTATTTTCTCATGGCTTTGCCATCGTTCTCCCATCGTTTCCCCGGTGCCCGCGGCGCCAGGTTCCGCTGGCTCAACGAGACGCTGTACACCATGACCGGCGACGAGGCCCTGGATCTTTTTTCGAAGGATCCGTCGCTGGCGGAGGCCTACCACGAGGCACCTGGGGCAGTGGGGCAGAGGCGTCAGGCGAGGTCAGCATCGTTGTATGTTATGGTTAGCTAAATGTACTAGGTGATTTCTACATGTGTGCTGTAGAATGTTTTCAACTATGGTTAACTATGTTTTACCAGTAGTACCGCGCAAGGCGGTGGCGGAAGTTTCAAAAATAGGAAACCTATAGGAGAGGTTGGTTGTTGTGAATCACGGATGGCAAAGCGAATCGACTGATGGACCCAAAGGTGGTTGGAGCTGTGTCTTTTTGGAATGGCTGCAATGGTTTCAGTGGTCACCTGGTCGGGCACCTCACCCACAGCTGCTGGATGTAGCGTGGTGTAGTGCAGCTGTAGTTGTAGTTGTAGTGTAGTGGAGTTGTAGTTGCGGTGTAGTGTAATTAGTGTAGTGTAGTTGCAGTTGTATTTGCAATGAATGTAGTGTAATGAATCGGCTCCGCGGGAAAATGATTACAATTAGGTGGTGCAATGAGTGTAGTTTAATGTAATGTAGGGTTGTGTAATATAGTGTACTCTAGTGTAGTGTAGTGTAAAGTAGCGTAATTGTAGTTGTAGCTGCAGTTGTAGTTAGTGTAGTGTAGTGTGGTGTAGTGTAGTGCAGTGTAATGTACTCAGTGTAGTGTAGTGTTATGTAGTTGTAGTTGTAGTTGTAGGTGTGGTGGAGTGTAGTGTAGTGTAGTGTAGTGTAGTGTAGTGTAGTGTAGTGTAGTGTAGTGTAGTGTAGTGTAGTGTAGTGGTGGTGGTAGTTGAAACTGCTACAAAACCCTCATGTTTTGCTCACTTTTGGCAAGGTGCAAAATTCCTTGTGCCTGGCACGCAAACGACATCCGAACGTCCAAAAGTGCTCCGAACCCCTCAGTTTTTTTCCACTTTTGACTTCGACATGTGCTTCGCGCCACAACAGCGTGCACTTTTTCGACATCTCAACTTCCAAACGTGGTCCGGAGCTGGTGAATTTTGACTTGGAAATGTGCTTCCCGCCACAACTGCGTGCACTTTTTCAACATCTCAACGTCCAAAAGCGGTCCGAGACTGTCAGTTTCTAACACTTTTGAATTCGAAATGTGCTTCGCGCCACAACAGCGTGCACTTTTTCGACATCTCAACTTCCAAACGTGGTTTGGAGCTGGTGTGTTTTTTTGGATTTTGACTTGGAAATGTGCTTCCCGCCACAACTGCGCCCGCCACAACTGCGTGCACTTTTTCAACATCTCAACGTCCAAAAGCGGTCCGAGACTGTCAGTTTTTAACACTTTTGACTTCGAAATGTGCTTCGCGCCACAACGGTGTCCACTTTTTTCCACATCTCAACTTCCAAAAGTGGTCCGACCCTGGTGTGTTTTGTGCATTTTGACTTGGAAATTTGCTTCGCGCCACAACGGCGTGCAATTTTTTCATCTCTCATCTGACCAGATGTCTCCGCACCCGCCGCTTTAGCGAGCCTACTTTTCGACCCTCCGGAGCCACAAATCATTGGAAAAACACAATGTTTCGCGGCTTTGCTACCTTTTCGCACACCTGCATCTTCTTTCCTCTTTGTCTTTCTCTTCTCTGATCTTCTCTCTTCTGCTCTTCTCTTCTCTGACTCTGCCCACCTCTGCTTTTCCATCTGTCCATATTTTCGGAAGTTTGACTTCTAAACTAAACTTCCTTCGATTATGGTATGTTCTGGCTACTATTGTTTCCAACTAGGTGATTTCTATGGTAGATACAACTATGGTTTATGGTATATAATATAATATATACTTATATGTATATATATATATATCTATTTCTGAATCTGTTTTTACTATAGTTAGCTAGGTGAGTTCTATGGGTTTATGGATGTTTGTGGTAGATATGTCTATCGTTCATGGCTTTACCCAAACACTTGGAACTGGGGGGTCTCACCTTGTATGTCGAACTAGGCGATGAGGTGGTGAAGAAAATCGGGTCACATCCCAAAAGCAGATGGTCCACCAACTATTATAATAAAATAAGTGATTCATAGTTAGGTGAATATTATCTAATTATCATAGATATACCCAAACCATATCATTATCATAATAGGTGAATATACACTAGTATATCACTATGGTGATTCATAGGTGGCCTATGACGAAAGTTTTTTTAAAATTATTATGTGATTTGATGATCCAGCCATGTCGTCGTTTTGGCGATTCAATCATGTGCCACGCACAACTCGCGAAGAGTGAATGTTGTGGAGTTGGCGATGAACCATTCCTTCGAGAAATCTACAGTGATTAAAGTGGCAATGGTAAAGCCCTTTTTCACAAGTATTGTAAATCACACGCGCACAGAAATATATTGTATATATATGTATATGTATATGTATATGTATATGTATAGATAGAGCTACCCACAAGCACATACACATACACAGAGAGAGAGAGAGAGAGCGAGAGAGAGAGAGAGAGAGATAGATAGATAGATAGATAGATAGATGATATACATACGTAAATAAATAAGTGATGGAGTGGCATACCGAATGTCATCTTATGTGAATGTGAACAGCATTGAATCCTGAAAAAGATCCACCCCGGAGCAAAGCCAAGCTGATTGACTAGATTATCAAGGTTCAAGGCCACTTACCAACCATTGGCAACTATTTTTTGCTTGGTTTTTTTATACTGTATATTTCATTATATTTCAAAAACCCGTGAAGTTGCCAAGTTGCCCACTGGAATTTGATATATCTTGCAAGATCTTGTCCATTACACATCTCAGATCTACATATGTGCCATGGTCAGCAGTTGGATTTTGTACCCAGCTCTTGGAGAATGGACACCAATGCATTTTCCTAAAGATTTTTATGCCCATAAACTTTATACATACACACCATGTCTTGTCTCTAGCACATATAGGGATAAGTTGTGTTTATAACCTATGATGCTGGTCTCACCTAGTCATGAGTAGTTAAGTGCTACCAATTTAGCAGATTATATACCTATCTGGTCTCACTTTCCCCATGTAATATGGTTGGTTGTGTATCCCAATATATCCCTATATCATCAATGACCTCCCAATTCTGTTGATTTTATCCCATGAGCAGTCCCAGCAATAATTTCATTAATATATGCATATGAATATTGTATAGTTAGCACTATTCCCCCATTATATTCCATTATATATCTAAATTCTCCCCATTAATTCGCCAATCTCTATATATATAATATATTGCACCATTGTATCCCCCTATAAAAAAATACATTCCCTGTCAAAAAATGAATAATATGACCTCTGTATATATATATATACATATAATTGCATACATATGCATCTACATATACATCCGATGCCCTATTAACTACTTCTATTCACCCATCAGTTATATATATATATCCCCCTATATATAATCGCCCATACTGACTAGGAATATAGGATATTCGTAATTAGATTAGTTAACTGGTTAATTATATTACTATTATGAGGTATTAACTTACTACATCCAATGTATCTA